CCTGCCCCCAATCCCACCCCACCACCAACCCCACCCCTCTCAACCAGCACTTATATTATGTATTGTAATAACTACAGCATTGAATTAGGTTAGCTCAGAGGTGGGCAAATTGTGGTCTGTGAAAATAATTTTAAAACCTGGATAGAAAACCCTGTATTGTTATTGTTGTTTTGGTGGTCTTCCCTACTCAGTAATATCAAAACTGAACAAAAATTGATATAAACACAGTGCATGAAGGTTATTATAAGCACACTTCAAACGTCTAAATTTACAAACCATAAAGTTAGCAAGTGGCCCTCAATGTTATATAAAAAATTCATGTCAGCCCTCCAACCTGCTTTTATGTCTACTCATGAGTTTTGTTCTGCTGTAGTTTGAAGATGCGAGATGTGGAAGCTCACAGTGAGCATGTTTTCCTTGGAACTAAAAGACATTTTTTTTTTTAAATTATTATTATCGCTACAAAATATGATTTTAAGCTATTGATAAATCTTTGTAAATTATAATTCTCTTCTGTTAGATAAACCTGAATGTCATCACCCTGATTACATGTATGCTGATCTTGGTGAAGACTTTACTGTTGCATCAAATTGTTCTGCTAATCCTACTGACATGAATTATCAATGGAGCAGTGTTCCTAATGTTACTGACTTAGATAACGACCCAGCAACATTCACATTCCTGGTATCAACAAAGGTTGGCACAAACTATACAGTAACAGTGATTGCTAATAATAGTATTGGATCTACAACAGAGTCAGTAATAGTCATTGTTGCAGGTAAGCTTTATACTTTTCAGATATTAAAGTAAATTACCAGTGAATTAACTGTTAGCTGATTGATAAAAGCAATGATAAAAATAATAATAATAATAATAGTTGGATTTGTATAGTGCATCATGCGAAAAAGCCTCTATTTGCTTGGTGATTTAGCTCTTTAAGTTTGAAATTTTGAGAAAAGTTGATGTTATTTTATAAAACTAAAAAACCTACTCCTTAAAATAATGCATGGTTGGCCGTTGGCTCCGAGGAGTTCAAATCAAATAATGATTATCCAACTTCGTAGTTAATTTACCCTAGCTGTAGTGATTGGTGTAAAAATTTCGATGTGTGATTGTATTTGTGATTTCTTGTAGAAAAGACATTTATGCGATTAAATTTTTCATACAATGCATAGTGTCTGGTTGTTCATGATAGATACTAGTTGTTTAGCATAGTACTTTTGAACATTTTTCAGGCTGTCCAGCATTTTTTCTTTCAATTCTTTGGCCAACTGGGCTCAACACACTGAAAACAATACATCACCTATATATACTCCTGTTGTGGATCGAGAGAAGGTGGTTGTTGGCAATGCCCAGAATCCTGCCTGAGATTTTAGAGTGCTTTTTAATATTAATATATACAGATTAACTATTTGGGGGGGGGGGGGGTTCTGTTATGAGAATAATTTTCAAGCTAATCTATTATTATTTTTGAATTAAGTTACATGTCTCTCAAACGATGGGAGGATGACAAGATAGAAGATGGTTCCCCACGTCATCAATTTTTCATTCTACAAGAGTGCCCCTTTTTTCAGGACCCCTTCCGTCAAATATCTTGATTGGCCCCAGTACTGAATGGGGTGCCATACACAGCAAAAGTCCATGTTAAAATTAAAATGTAATTTGCAAAATTCAATGTCTAATTTATCAAAACATAGGCGTAAATTTCTCGTAAATGAAAGAAAAAACAATATCAACGATAAAACATAATTCTTATGAAGGAAACAACTTATATTGTAACTAATTCATAGGCCAGTTAAATTAAAATGACAGTATGAAGAATCTGTGTTGTGGTATAGTTGTGTGAAAAAAATGTTTACATTTTCAGTTAGTGTCTTCTAAATAAGGGTACCCGCTATTCAGGGGACATCTCTATTAAAGAGACACGCTATAAAGGGGACATATTTTTGTCTTCGGTTTTTTTTAAATAGTATTATAATTGCTGAGATACTGTAATCTAGCTTTTTAAATATGTTTGTTATTGTTATTTTCTATTAATATATCATAAATGAAATATATAATTTTTATTATTTAACTTGTTTTTTTTAATTTCTGAAAACCAGAATTTTTTTTTTGTAGTTTTTTTCTTTCCTATCCTGAGTCTGGCTGTTGATCGACACTTTTCAGCTTAGCCTTTTGAAGCTACTTTGAGTAATATTCTCTCAATACTTACTGTACAGGAGCAGTGTGTGTATAAGAGACAGCCCCCCTGCTGTACAAGTGTTTCATAGATAGCAAAACTAGAGATATATTGTAACTGCTGGTACTGATACTTTTTAGATCCATGTGCTGACGAACACTGAAAATGGTGGAACTTGTATAGTTGTTGAAGGAGGGTACATTTGTAATTGTACCAATGATTTCAGTGGATTAAATTGCTCATGTGAGTTCAGATTGTAAAAGTGATAGATAGGCTTTCAATTTACATGTTCATTTAGCATTCTTTCCAAAATTTAAAGCAAAAGTCAGAACCAGGAAATGAATTTTGAGTCATAACTTGATTGTATCTATAAATTAAGATATTATTTTAAAGCATCAAGCAATTGTTCTTTTGTTGTATTGTTTATGTTATATGAACTTCACAACCTGACCTATTTTTATATTGACTAATTTTCATGAGTAGATTGCATCTATAAGGATGGCTGTTGCCAAGATGAGGGAGATATTTATAATTATGGGAATGGTACTTGTGGCTGTATCTGTGGCAAATGTAGGCAATTTAATTACACCACAAATCAGTGTGAAAGTGAGTAAACAATAAGCTACTATACAGTTAATCTAAATCTGTTTTATAAAATAATGCGGGCAATAGACACAATGGGCGACCAGAATCATGTGACTTACAGTTGACAAAATCTTAAACAGACACACTGTATTGATGCTTACTCTAAAAAAGTGCATGGTTTATTTGAAGTGTTTCTTCTGTAATGTAAGGCCATGCTTTCCCAAGCTATAGGTTGTAATCCACAAGTGGGTTGCCAAACTTTTGCATTGGGTCATGGCCAAGTTTGCAAAAAGCAAAAAAAAAAAAAAAAAAACTTTTAGCAGATCTGATGACTAAAATGTTTTTGGTGGAAATTTATATATTTAACTAGGTAAATCCACACTGTTTCAATTAATAACAAGTATAGGATTAAACTTACCTAAGAATAGCATTATCCCATTAAATTTTGATTGTGTATAATTCCCTGTGTATTTTGGTTGCTATAATGGTATCAAATATATGTGAGGTGTCATGACAAAATCAGTCTTGTGGTACACCAATTCAATTTGATATTTTTAGGAAAATATTATTTGAAGTGATATTTTGACAAAAATACGGTTTCAATGTTTCTGATAAGTTTAACATACTGTATATGTTTCCTGGTAGCAAAAGTTCTAAGTTGAATTACCTATGGTAAATGTGTTTTTGAGGCACATTTTGTAAAGCTGTTTTTTCAAGAATTGATAGAAAAACCAACACAAAATTTATCAGTTGTTTATCTTTAGAGGCAATTTTCTCTAAAGTATGCTTTCAGACATCTAAAATAACACTAACTTATGTGAGGCCTCACCACAAAATGAGTTTCATGGTTAGAATATCAAAAATTGAGTTTATATTATATTTGGGTAGATCACATTATAAGCTTTAATTTGGTCTTTAAATGGCTTCACTATGATATGATGTAGATCCAGAGATGTGAGCATTTAAATATTATGTGTAAAAGAACCACATTTTGAGAAAATCGGCCTCCAATATAAACTAACCTGTACAAATAATAAGACTAGAATTACAGAATATGCGCAGAGAACGCTGTTTTAGTAAGAAAATTCACTTAAAGTATACCATCATTTAATATAAATATCAAGTTATTAAAAAACATTAAAATCAAAATTGTGTAAAAATTTTGACTTTGACTTATTTTGGTGATTATCTCAAAATTATTTCACCATCGATGCATCTCATTTCGTGGTGAGACCTCACATATAGTGGGTACTAAATGTAAAACATCCACATCGTAAACCACAGTGCGCTCATTGAACACAGTATATTGAGAGAGTTATGATGACAGCGACCCAGAGTAAAGTAAGGCAGTAGGCCTATATATTTTTTCAATATTAGTGATTTATAATTACCTTGGCAATTTTATTTAGGCTCTGGAATGCTGCTAGTATACGGTAGGCTACATAAAGGTATAGGCCTAGGCTGCACTGTGAGTGTTAAGCATTGACCACGGCCCGGAGCAGGGAGGGAATTGTTATTCCTCGACTATATATCTCTGTAGTCGAGTACTGTAGGTAATAAATTAGAAAATAACACTTAACGGTACTGATTGCTCAACCAAACTTGGTCTAGGAAACAGGCTGGTGATAATAGGCCTCGTTGGTATGGTACATTTTAATGCCAGTACGTAATAATATTTGTTACATCATATAATGTTCATTATCCTCGGCAGTAACTATAAACTTCCTATGATTTAATATTGGATTGAAAATAACTGTAAAATAACACTCTTGCAACGAATGGGGGGGAGATTCGTTTTTTTTTTTTTGCATGCTGCGATAACATTTGCCATGAATAATATACTTAACTTGGGCCTAAGTACCTCAACCGGGGACGACTCACTGCAGCAATATGCACGTTGTGAAGATAACGTACCTTTCCTTGAAAAATTTCCAAGCCTTTATTCCCACTCCTTGCCAAACCAGATGAGTGTTTGAAAATTTAATTTTGGAACACTTCAAAGTGATTTACCAAATTAAACTCTCATTCCAACCAACATTTGCAACATCTATGATGTGACTTGTATCAACGACAAGGCGAGGCCATATTCTGTCGTCTCGCGATCTTGATAGATGTAAACCAACCCTTATATTGAAAATGACCTTACCCCAGCTGTACTCAACCTACATTAGGACCAAAATAAAGCTTATATGTTCCTCTATTTAAATATATCAATAACTCAGTTTTCATTTTTTGTACCACTGTAAGACCCATTTTGTCCGACAGCTCACATATTATTTAAAGATTGAAATTATTTTATGAAAAAAAAAAGTAGACTACATATTTTCAAGAATTTTGGTCAGTCAATCTAGGGCCACACAATAATTTTTTTCACTTACTGTAAGTCTTGTATTTCAATTAAGTTTGAAATGTTATTAAAAAGTTGTCTCATTTTCCCACTGTGGCAAAAGGATGATCTTAGTAAACAGAGATCACTGTAATCAGTAGCGTATCTAGAAGTCTTGAATGGGGGTGCTGATGGGTGGAGGAGGTGTGAAGGTGAAGTGAGGGCTCAATGATCAATTGAGGGCTGCTAATTCACAAAATAAGGTGATTTTATTTGATTTTAACTACTTGAACATGATTTTTTTGGGGGGGGCACAACTGGGGGAGGCGCAAGTAATTTTTGGAGAGGCTTGTGCCACCTGCACATCCTCCTAAGATACACCACTCACTGACTGTAATACCAATTCCGAGCATCAAATTTTGCAGATTTTTTGTGCAATTTATTATAATGTTATTAGATGGGTTGCAGCTAATGTGGGAAATCACAACTTGGGTCCCAGAGAAATAAAGCTTAAGAAGTGGGGGAGGGATGTAAGGTACATTATTAAATGTTAAATAATGTTGGTTGGGACTCCAGTAAACTACTTTAAATCCCTTGGAAACGTTATTGTGAATACTGAATGGTTCTGCTACTGTATGCTTCTAATATACAGTACTGGCCCTAAATAATTCAAGAGAAACTATATAGG